GGAGTTATCCATCTACATGGATTATTCTACGACCATGGATGGTACGAATGCGAGGGTCTTCTCCGAGGAGATGGGGATAGAGCTATCGATTCGGCTGCCTGATGGATGTGGGGTTTTCCAGGCAGAGATTTTGGCGGTGCTCAGGGCGGCGGAATTGGCTGCCACTAAACCGGTGGGGGATGCGAGATGGTAATATTTGTGGATAGTAGGGTGGCGATTGGGGCCCTCGCGTCCTATTCGGTTGGGTCGTCTTTGGTGGATAAATGAAGGGGGGAACTCAGGGCACTTTGTAATATATGCAGAGTGACTGTGTGCTGGGTTCCCGGTCACAGTGGGATACGGGGTAATGAGATGGCAGATCGTCTTGCGAGGGCTGGGGCTGGCGGAGATGCTGACATGGTAGACGCGTCGGTTTGTCTGCCGCTGGGAGCTTATCTTGCCGTCATAGAAGGTGAGTTTAGGAGGAGGAGCGGGGTCTTGGATGGATAGGGCAAATGCTTACTACTAGGGTGGTGGTGGCCGAGTGGGGGCTCAAATAAGCCGAGGATACTGTTGGTGAGAGGCACTCCTCAGGGGGGTCCTGTCCCCCTATCTGTGGGTCCTGGTTATGGAAGGTTATCTTAAGCTCATGTCGGATAGTGGGTTTAGAGTTACTGCCTATGCGGACGATGTGGCAATCCTGGTCTCGGGTAAATATCTGGAAGTACTGAGTGCAATCATGCAGGGGGGTCTTGATAGACTAGATGGCTGGGCGCGGGGATGCGGTCTTTCTGTGAACCCCGTAAAAACGGAGCTGGTAGCACGGGGAAAAGGAAGGTACCCGGGTTTCCCTGCCTAGGATGGCGAGGTCGAACTGGGTTTGGCGGGTTGTGCGCGATACCCGGGCGTGATTATGGATAGTAAGCCGCTGTGGAGGGAAAACATAGAAAATAGGGTAAGGAGGGCCACGAATGCGTTGATTGCCTGCAAGGGGGCGACTGGTAGACGTTGGGGAGTGAGTCCTCGACTGGTCTACTGGTTGTATGAGTGTGTGGTTAAGCCTATTCAGCGTATGGGGAAATTAGTCCGGGGGCCATCGGTGCTTCGGGGTAAGGAGAGGAGAAAGTTGGAGAGGACGCAGCGTATGGCGTGTGTTGGGGTGACTAATGCATTGCGTACTACACCCACTTTAGGTTTGGAGGTTATTCTCAAAAGGGGGGAACTTAGGGCACTTTGTAATATATGCAGAGTGACTGTGTGCTGGGTTCCCGGTCACAGCGGGATACGGGGTAATGAGATGGCAGATCGTCTTGTGAGAGCTGGGGCTGACGTTGGGGAGTGAGTCCTCGACTGGTCTACTGATTGTATGAGTGTGTGGTTAGGGCTATTCTGGCGTATGGGGAATTAGTCTGGTGGCCAGCGGTGCTTCAGGATAGGGAGAGGAGTAAATTGGAGGGAGCGCAGCGTATAGCGTGTGTTGGGCCTATGGACATTAGGCCAGATTTTGTGGTGCCATATACCGACTGCAGGGTTGTGGTTCCACAAAGAGTGGATTGTAGTGCGGAGGGGTTATGCATGCATGAGGGGTTATCTATCTACACGGATGGTTCTACGACCATTTTTTAATTTTTTCATATTCGCTTTTGTTCATAAACTTAAGCAAAGTATATCTACCCAAGAAGTAGTTCGACTGTCCTTTTACATCACACTTATGCAACTAATATTTGTATACAAAAAATTCCCTTAGCTAAAAGAGTTAGCAGGAATTTTTGGGAGAGGGAAAGAGTACACAATAGACGTCCACTTGTTTTTTTATATACATACTTAAAGCATGGGAAAAAATATTAAATATTTAACAAGCGGGAATATCATTTCTGTAACTCATTCCACCACAAGGTGGCAGAAATGGTGTATCCATATTATAAAAGCGATGTGATTTATAGCCTGATCGTGTATGACGCTTTTTACTCACTTTTTATTCACTGTCAAACCAGAATTCTCAGTATTTTCTAATGGATTACAGTTTTTGTAATAATATTACGCATTTTTTCAATTGGATTTTTGCATTTTTTTTCAAATTATGGACTGAATGTCTCATTTTCAAAAACAAAGTGAATAAATTTAAAATGCATTTTAGAAAAATGCGAGATACGTAATACCAAATAATCCTTCTCATTCGAAAATTACATTATACAAGTATATGATAGTTACTCACTTTCTTCGCACTTTCCAAGTAAAATAACGATATACACGATCAGGCCCTTAAAAATAAAATTTTAGAAAATAAAAAAAATTATAATTTATATGTATGTAATTTGAAAAAGACAAATAATATTAAAAAAAAATTAAAATTTGTTATTAGTAATTGTCATTATATTTATCGTTATAAATATAAACTATAAATTTTTATTTTTGTTTCAATTTTGTCTTTAAAAATTTAAAACAAATATTTCTTATGAATATACATACATACATACACACGTATTGGTAATACGCATTTTTTTTATAAATTTATTATTTCTGTATCTCTTCTACATTGCAGTTTGACGTGAAAGAGTACTTGACATGAAATCAGCTCGAAACTTGAGCTGCGTTTTTACTACGTCAGCTTAAAAGCTCGAAAACAAAAATTTTAAATCATTATTAACATTTCAAGTCAAGTAAACGATTTGAGTGAAACCGGCTTCAAGTCAAGTAACGTTTGTATAGACATAATAACAAGCTTGAAGCAGTCATATATAAACGGGGTGTATACATATTACTACATCATACCTTGAATAGGTATGTACTGTATAAAAAAATATGAAATTTTAAATTTATAACTACTGCTTTCATACATTCAAATGTTTTTACTTAACTTTTATGAAATGAAAAGTAAAATATAAAAAAAATTTTGTCGTTATCAAAATAAAAATAACAACCTTTTTACCTAACTTAATTTTATTTTATTTCAATTCGATATTTTTGATACACTCGTTTGTTTACAATATTTTGTTTATTTCATGCCTACTGAACAATTCGAATTATTTCTTGGGTAGATATTCTTTGATCTTAAGTAACCAAAAAAGTTTTGCAGAATTTTCCTCAGAAAAACAAAAACATACATCTTATGCGTAATACATTGTACCAATTATTTCTGCTAATAGATTATTTACATTCAATTCATTAACGACCGGGACCACAAATCCACAATTATTTTTACATAATAAATGGTTATTTACATTCAATTCATTAACGACCGGGACCACAAATCCACAATTATTTTTACATAATAAATGGAAAATATTGAATGAAGGTGAGAAGACATCACCTTTTGTTGTATTTTTGAAGGGTTAAAAAAATTGCATTGATAAATTGTGTCCGACTAATATTCATTATAGTTTCGAAGCTGTTGAAAGTAAAATTGTGTTTCGAAACTTTTTTGTCACTTACATAAACTATCACTTTTTCGAGATAATAAACTAGCGGTTTTTAAAAAATGTTTAGTTTTTCATTACAAAATTTTGTGTTTGAGTATATATTACTTGAAGATGGTAAGCTCAATTGAAGCGCACCAATATACATACGTATGTACACATATCAGATATATACCAATATACATTTCAACTGCCGATATGTAGTGATCTAAAATGTTTCAACTACTTGGCATTTATTATTTTTTTACTACAGTATTATTGCGGCAATTGAATTTTAGCAAAACTTTTTTTTCACGGATGTTTAGATCGAACCTGGAACATACAAATATTTACAAATATACAATCATACATTATCTATTAATGCGTTTTTTTTTTTAATTTCGCCCCACAGGCGCCAATGCTTTGATGTAGTACGTAAAATGCGACTACTTATTCATAAAGTTTATGGGCATGCATTTATATAAGTAGTATATGTACATTTGTAAGCATGTTTGTATGTAAATAAAATAATATTAATGTATATATATATACTTAGATTGGGAATGGAATGTATTTACTTAAAAATAATAACACTAATTCGAATTTATTTTTTTTTTTTGTTTTTTGAATAAATTTTCAAATATTTTTGTACATTCACATTCACATACATTCATTTCAAATTTTTGTTCTTGTCTTTTTTTAAATATTAAAATCAATATTGTTTTTTTTTTTTTAAGAATAATTTTTTCTTAATAAATTTGCAACTTTTTTAAATTAAACATTAAAAATTTTTATTTACTTGCATGTAGGTTATTTAATTTTAAATTATTTACTTTGTATGTAAATAGGTTATTTTTTTGCTCGGATTCTTTTTTCTTGTTTCATTTTTTTGTATGTACATGAGGAAAAATTTATTGCTTTTCTATTTTTTTTTATTAAAGTGTTATATCATATGTAACTAGATTTTGAATAAGTGTCATATTATAATACATAAATACTTTGAGAAAGTTTAAAAACGAAACATATACAATTTTTGTATTTCTTTTTTCATTTTCTAGGTATGTAAGTCGCCAATAAGCAATATAATTAATATGGCTGCCTATTTTTTATCCATATACCTATGTATATTATAGAACATAATTATATTCAAAATTGCTATGTATGTATATAAAATTAGAATTGTAATGCATACATACGTCAATTTATTAAGTTTTGAAAAATATAAGTTAATATTCAAATATGTATGTCATATATGTATATATATATATACATACTATATATGCCACAAATACGTACATATATATGCTACTATGTGGCATATATATGTACGTATTTGTACATACACACCTTAAATAACCCCATATTTATACAAATGTAGTAAATACAGGTCAAATCCATACATAAGAAATTCATTATCATCATCGGTGTATCATTATAATTGTATATGTAGCCATCAAACAAATCGCATGCATTTTACATACAAATTTGTAATATTGTGCCTAAATTATTTGTATTTAAATATATGTATGTATGTATGTATGTATGTAGATATACATTTAGAACATTAACAAAGAACTTATACATTTATTCTATATTTTTTTTTAATATTTGATTTATAAAATTTACTTGATTTTCATGATAAAAAAATAGTAAAATGGAAAATTTTTAAATAGCCTTTTTTTGCTTTAATTTTAAATTTCTTCAGTTTCAGTTTTTTTTTCTTGGTTGAATTGAAATTTTCAAACTTTTTCTACTCGAATTTTTATATTTAATTATTTTCTTTTTTAAATAATTTAAAATTAATAAATTTTATTTTTTCTGTCCTTCCTTCCATATTTCAATAAAACATTTTCTCTAATGCTCTCAAAAAATTTTTTCGTCGAATAATTTTAAAATGGAATTTGTATATGTGTTCATAAAGCTTTGGTTTCCAACTTTACAGGTTTATTATGCTCATATTACCACCACCAATCATATATATATATATGCATTCGTTTGTATGCATATTTAACAAAGCAAAAAAACACAGAGAAGAGTAATATTTACACCTTGGCATAATGAAAAAGTAAAGAGAGAGAAATATAAATAAAGGTATATAGAAACAAGATGGTACATATTACCAGATTTATTTGATTTTTCGGATCAAAGACCTGTCAGATGATCATAAACTTTGCCAGATTTTTCACTTCGGGAAATGTCTGACGAATAACTTTAAATTTCTTATTATTTATTTTAAATGTATTGACACCTAGGTAACGCCCAAGCTGAATAATAATTATATTATTGTGAATTCAGAAAAGCAGTGACTGAGTTCTAAGATAACCGAATGCTAATTTTGATATTTCAGTACTGTTTGTGAAGCAGTGTTGTTAATTTTACTACAGTTGTAGTTTTTTACTAAATTTCAGAATCCTATACTACTGCAAAATCATTTTTACCACTTTTTTGCATTTATATCAGAAAATGTCATTATTTGCATTTGCTTATGAAATATCATTTGTGTTGTTGCCAAAAAAATATCTTGTACAATAAAACAAATTAAATCTAGAATCTTTTTTGGAAAACGATATCGCGAAAGAATCGTCTAATGTTGAAATTTGTATTTTAATACTGAACACTCGCGAAATTTTGACCTATATCTTTAACGTATCTTTTTAGTTTATTAAAATTATTTGATATAATTAACCTAAACACATAAAAATATTTTTATTATGTAAAATTCTTTGCGTTTCTAAAATTCAAAACTATTTCTCAAAAGTTTATATTGTCAATTTTTAAGTTCGCGCTTTATATAATATGTGAATTGACAAAAACAATATTAATTTGACATAAGAAAACAAAAACTCTCAGAAAGCAGAAAAAAATGTATTTGCATTATTTTTTATACATTACTATTTGCGTGAGTTAAGAATTGTTATAAATTTTAATGGCACTTACTGCTAGCTTTCTGCATTTATAGAAATTTGGAAAAGATTGCAGTTTCGGAAATGTAAGATTTTTTTTGGAAAAGCCTCAAAGCTTTTTTTCTAATTTCAGATTTTTCGGAAAAAACGTTTTAGACGGAAAATTTCAATATCCATTTTGTTTTTTCAAAGTTCAAATGTTGTATGTCGCAGTAGAAGAAACCAAACACTATAACTTCGCTGTAATAAATAGTTAAAAAAAAAGCGTTTTTAGGATTTGGTGAGTTATAACTTTCACCCTTTATCGGTCATAAGTCACCTCTGACGTGACAATAGTAGTTTTCTGCAGCGATCGTATAGCACGTGTGAGGTGACAAGTTGGATCATTTTGAAATTACATTAAAAACATATACATAAATAGATTTCGGAATTCTTTAGAAATTAAATATTTTTCAAGAAAATTGTTAAATTGAAATGAATATATGAAAAAAAACAACATATTTTTTTTCATATTTATTAAAAAAAAAACTACAACTTGGTGAGAATTAAGAATGTGAAACGTGGCGTTTGATAACGTGAAACGTGATAGAAGTTTTGTAAACATGTCCAAGGACGGACAGAATAAGATTAATAAGCAAAAAATTTTTAGCAGTTTTTCAAAAATTTTGGAAAATTGCTAAAAAGAAACTTTGATTTCTTAAGTTATAGCAAAGACGTATATATGTATCTATCTTATTTTATATCTATACATTCAAATGTTTTTACCTAACTTTTATTAAATGAAAAATAAATTTTGTTTTTATCAAAATAAAAATAACAAATATTTTTACCTTACCTAATTTAATTTTATTAGTTCGCTATTTTTGATACACTCGTTTGTTTACAATACTTTGTACCTGTCTCACTCTTATTACCATCTATATCTAATGAAAATGTAATATTTTGAGAATCGCGGAAGTGGCAAGCAAACGAAAACTAACGGCTTGAAACAAGTCAAATTACTTATAAAATGGGTAATGCATAATACATACATATGTTGATTATAAATGTGAAAATTAAAATGACCAGTTTTCCAAAATTAGCAAAAAAAGAAATAACAAGAGTTCTTTTCAGATACTAAAAATTTACTTTCCATGCTAAACAAAATAATATACAAAAAAAAAACTATAAATAACCCTAACAATATTGTAATATTTTGATAAGAAAATCATTAAAATTAAAATTTAGTTTTTGGCACGAAATTCACAATTTATTGCATTTGATTTAATATTGATTTTGAAAACAAAAAAAAACACGTATTCTAAAAAAACAAAAAAAAAAAAATTGAGTTGACCATGCCGAATTGAGTTGAGCCGTACGAATTTGCTATCCTATTTGGGAATAAATATGTCATAGCTGACTGTGGGACTGACTATGACTTTAAGTTGCCGTCTTACCATATTAATTAATGCAAAATCTCAATACTGTGAATTTCTATATTTTCTGAGATATGGCCAAACTACTATTGAAGTTGTACGGCAGCTACCACAAGAAGTGAAGAAATATTTAAGATTAAATTTCATTTTAATTTTTAGGTTTTAGTTAACTTTTCGTATAGAAAACTCGAAATGAAAATAGGCAAAAAATATAATTTTTCCAAAAAAAGCAACAAAAAAATAATTCTTCGAAATGTCATTTCGCCAAAAATCCATGTAGTTTTAACAGACGCAATCACAAAAAAGCAGTGTCCAGGCCTTGATTTTTTTATGTCAAATTGTTGAATATTTAAATATTTAGTATATTTACACACATACATACATGTGTTTTTATGAAAATTATATAAGATTGTATAATTATATTTTAATATTAATTTCGTAAATCTCAATATCAAATTTCTTATTAATTTTTCTTCATATTATATAATTGGGAAATAATAAAATTTTTTTTTTTTTTATAATTTCATAGAGTGTAACTTACTCAAAAAAAATTTCATAATGAAAATTACATACATAATACATATATATTTTTTCACAAAACGAGACACTAAAAAAATTTTTACGTACATACATACATATAAGTATATATGAATTTTAAATAATAAAACTTTCCACATTTTGCTATGTACATATTGTATACATACATAATTATAGATTAAAATAATAAAAATAAACACTCAAAATAACGAAATTTCAGAGAAAAGGCAATTTGTTTTAATTATTTACGTAATTATAAAAAAACAAAAAGCATTCACATCCCCCTTTCTATGTATTTTAATTATTATATTTAGCGTAAATGAAATTTTTTAATAAAAAAATAATTTTTACTTTTTGGGTTTTGTTGATAAGCTTGATTGCTGCCATATTGTTTTTTGTTTATTTTGCGTATTTAAATATTCATGCATACTATTGTAAAAACACACAAACATAATCATGTATAACATTTATGATTTCATAAGAAATTTTGTAAAAAGTTCTATTAAAAAATTAAAAAAGATTATATTGTAAAAAATTGTATTTTCATAAAGATAAAAAGTAAGGATTTACTTTTTACATGTAAAATTTAAATATGTATGTAAATAATTTGAACTTGTAACATAAGTTTTTTTTTTAATTTTTCATACATACATACATACATACACATGTTTATTATACGCATGCTCATAGAATATGCTGATCACCCACATTCTGTTGTTTAAGGCTCAACTCGAAGTAATGGGATATTATTAAAAAGTTTTTTGATTTGCATTATAGAATTTCATGTTTTAAAATTGATTTTGTTTAGAAAATTACAAAATTTAAAAAAAAAAAATTATGCTACTAACAGAATGTTAAGGAATAAATAGAATTCAACATTGTCCGTTACATACACATGTATGTATGTATATATATCTACATGAAGAAAAAAATTATACATAAGTACATAATATGTAGGTATAACCTAAAAAAAACTTATATATAGTAAAATTAAAAAAAAATTTCCTTTATACCTCTACATATACAATGCGCGTTTCTTTAATATACATAAGTATGGATGGATTTATACACATATGCATGTATGGTATTTTTATATTTATATGCATATGAAATGTACATAAATATAAATTTTCATACTATTCATTTATATACGTAAGTATTAAAATTTTTATTTAAATATATTTTTGCAGCTTCAAAAAAATATTGTATGTATATTAAAAGTCAGCAACATACTATTTTATCATAGGTGTTTTGGACTTTTGACATAAAAAAAAAATACAAAAAAAAAAAAAAAACAAATTCATAATTTCATACTATTTAAATATTCCTTCGGTATTATTGCTTATTTTTCCATTTTTTTTTTTGGTGAAAAAATTAAATTTAGTTCAGCTTAAGACCAAAAAAAAAAAAAACTATAATTTATAAAAAAAAAATATATGTATTTTTTTTATACAAAATTCAATTTTTCTTTCAATTTTCTTTTTTCAAACTTCATATATCAAAGACTTCCACTTAAATGCTTCTAAAATAAAATTTCATCAAGTTAATATTGTTATTACAGAGGGGTTCTAATAAAATATCCATATATGTATGAATGTTTTCACACACTTCTCTATCCACACATAACTGAATTCAATATACAAACTCATTCAAACAAGTAGACACAAAAGAAAAATGCTGACTGGGAGTTTAGCACTTTTCAATGCATTTCTGGCACTGTCTAACCTTTAAAATATTATTTGCACTATAGTGCACTTTGATACCATTTTAGAAATATTGCATTTTTTTGCACTCGACATTAATATTTTGACAAAAAGAAATTTTTTAATTTTTAAAAGTTTTATGAGAAAAAAAATTCAAAATGAAATTTAAAAATGCTGTTCTTGTTATATGCTACAGTTTGCAGAGAAAGGATAAAAATGTTGCAAGACTTATAGTTTTCCAGGAAATGTGATTGGAACACTTAATGCTTATAATTTTGAAAAAGAAAATTACAACGAAAAGCGATGTCGAAAACAAACAATTCAAAAATAAGTAAATTATTCTATAATAATTATAAAAATTTTTCTTTTAAGTTTTATCATAAAATAATGACATATATGTATGTATATGACCATACACTTGTTTACAGAAAACGTCAAAACTTTTTTCTCATTAAAAATGCAATTTTTCGAAAAAAAAACAAGAATATGTAAATAATTTTTGTGCACGTACATGTGTAATTATATGAAAGTAGCTATGAAAAAAAATTCAAAGTAAAAATAAAAAAAGTTCATACACGGACAGACTTATTTTAAAAATTATGTAAAAAAAGGATCGTGAAAAATGACTTTGAATAAGAATGTTCTTTTTACATATTTCTTCAATAAAAATATGTAAATTTTGTTAAATGTACATTTTTATTTTGAATTTTATTTTTTCACGTCATTTCTTATACAGATAATTTATTTACACATTCTTAGTTTTAGAAAAATATATTTTTAATAAGAGAAAATTAGAAAAGGTTTTCGAATATGAATTTTTATACATATTATACATGCCCATGTAGTTTTTATGGACTTTAAAAAAGGCTAAAAAATCAAAGTTTATTCAGAATTTGAAAATTATTTAGCATTTTTTTGCACTAATTAAAAAAAATTTAGCACTTTTTTCCACTACAAGAAAAAAACTTTTGCACTTTCTATGCCAAAAATATTGACATTACTGACTGGGATATTAATATAAATTCTCTTTATTTTTTCGCTCTTTAAACATTATATATAAATATCTCTCTCATT